TTCTCGACTAGCTTCCAATGCACGAGTAAGAGCCCAGCAATCTCCAAAACCCATTGCGGCGCCAGCTCCAAACGCTCCGGCGGTGGGATGCGCAGCGTCTCCGACAAATGCAATGCGGTCATCCCTGCTCAAAGCTTCCAACCATGGACCCGAATCAAGTGGGTATGCTTCTATATCATCGATAATGTTCAATACTTTAGTAATCACCGGGTCCCACCCCTTATAGCATTCCCGCAAACGTTGAAGTCCATCTGCCCCTACGGAATGTTCCCATTGAAGTGTAGCTGCATATTCTGAAGTCTCGCGCCTGATGATGACCACACCATACTGTCCCAATCCAAGTTCTGATAGAAAGACAACTTCCCCGTCTCCTCTCCAAGCAGATGAGTCGTCATGAAAACCTTCAATGCCTTGAAGCCGTGATATGGGGAAAACGGTCCTGTATGCTACCGCGCCTTTGAATTTGACAGAATGATTCGGCCAGTATTTACTCCTGAGCGCCGAATAAATGCCGCCTGCGGCAATTATCAAGTCGAAAACTTCCGACTCTTAACCGTCTTTGAAAACAAGCTTGGCGCCTTGGTCAGCGGGGTTTATGTCCACAACACGCCGTCCGTACTTCGTCGAACCTTCAGGTATGTGTTTCCGGATCAGCCTCAGGAGGGGCCAGCGGTGTGTGCGCGCTTGAACGAAATCTTCTCGTAATTCCTCGGATGAGTAACGCCGTAACAGGGAGTCACCCGTTCGCCAGTGGCGAGTCACATATACACCACCATCTGATGGTCGATAGACGATATCGTTGATTTCCGAGGGAGGAATGAGTTTTGTTAGCACTTTCAGGCCCGTCACGGTCAGACTGACCCAAGCTCCAGCTTCTCGGGCTATGGCTGACTTTTCGTATGCAACTATCTCAACATTTGGTAATCGTGAAAGGGCCAAGACCGCAACACTGCCAACCAATCCTGCCCCGACAACTCTGCTCATAATTAGCCCCATATCGAAAGGAAATGGCAGAAATCTTATGCTATACGTAAAGGTTCTATTGTAGACGAGGCTGTGCTTGCCATTTCAATGTTCCCATTCACGGTCATTACGAAGAACGCCCCGTTTTGTAGGCGACGCTGCTCTGTACCCAGTGTTATTCTTACGAGGTCTCACCAGTCTCAGACAAGGCTAGATATGCCGTCGTGACCATGGCTTTATGGCAATAGTGGCTTTGTATCAATCACTGGGTAATCATATAATGCCGATCTCGCAGAGCACGAGCTCAATCAATTAGATGCAAAATCTTGACTCAGGAAACAGGTGCCATCGTGCCTCTCCTGTTCCAGTTATCGGGTCCAACCAGGTGGAGACAGCTATTTGGTTCCCGGGTCCATGGAACCGAAGAACGTGGGTAAGTCTCTTCGCTCATACCACATTAAAATGGCGACAGGTTCTCTCTAGGGCCAGAAAGCACCATCAGTCCAGTAGAGTGATGCATTGTTTACTACTGCATTAGTTGGGTTACTTTCTCCTTCTCCAACCAATCATCTCTTTGGGGCCAGAGGCCTTGCATGTCGCTCTCCCTTCTCTCCATGCTTAAGATGTCTAGTCAACATTACGTGCATGGCCAACCCTTCTTGACGATTATCGGTGACTAGAAATTACACGTGGGAACGTTGATCTCCATATAAGTCACTCGCGGTTTTCCACTACTCTACCCATACTTTCCCGTGCTATTCCCCAACCATTCCCCCCTTTGTCATCCCAAGTCTACAAGTACTATTAAACATTTTAACCTTGAATCGTCATTCCATAATCATGGTTTCAGAGCAGGAAACCAATCACCCGGTGACTTGGTACCGAGGAACCATCTTCTCGGCGATGATGGTCGCAGCCACGGCGTTTACATGTCCGGGCATATTCGGCGCGCTGAACGGAATGGGTGCTGGTGGCGGTGCGAGTCCCGATGTCTCGAATGCCGCCAATGCAATCGTCTTTGCCGTCATCGCTGTTGGGTCCCTTTTTGCGGGTGCAATTTGTAACCAAATTACCCCTAAATGGACACTTGTGGTGCGTAATATTGGCCTAGTAGAAGACGCTCTGATTGCAACTAATCCTCGGGGTGCACAGATCGGAACACTTGGTTATGCACCGTATGCTGCGGGCTTCTACGTTGTAGACCGCTACAAGGTGGATTGGCTACTCCTCTTTGGTGCAGTTACATGTGGCATATCAGCATGCTTCCTTTGGGTGGCGAGTGGCGCGGTCTTCCTTGGTTATACGGAAGAGAATAGAAAGGGTCTTGCCAGTATGTTCGCTCTGTTACTCTCAGAATATTTCACCGCAGTGGACGGTTGCTAATGGGGATTCCAACTAGCCTCCCTGAAGTTCTCTTTCCAAAACTTAGGGGCATCTATCGGTGGCATTGTGAGCCTAGCATTGAACGTTGAGCGAGCATATCGAGGCTCCATCAGCAATGCGACCTATATTGTGCTTGTAACCATAATGTGTTTAGGCTTTCCATTTGCGTTGGCGATGCCTACTGCTCCGAAGGTCCAGCGTACCGATGGTCGTAAGGTCCATCTGACCAAGGCTGCATCCCTGGCCAAGGAATTTCGTGTTCTCGGAGTACTTATAAAGAATCCAACTGTGCTAGCTTTGATTCCTCTCATGCTTTATGCTCAGTGGTTTCTTTCATATCAGTGGCAGTTTAATTACGCATACTTCACTGTTCGGAGCCGCGCTTTAAATTCGCTCTGCTTCTACCTTGGCGGGTTTGGTGCGTCTTTAGCTCTTGGGCAGTTTCTTGACTGGACTCGGTTCAGCCGCCCAACCCGAGCCAAGGCGGGATTTTGGATTGTCCTTGTCACTTCTGGGTCATCCTGGATAATTGGGCAAGCCGTGCAGGCTCGTTATAGTCGTACTCAGCCAACGTTAGATTGGGCGGAACCAAGCTTTGGTCTGGGCTGTTTTGTCTTTTTACTATGGGGTATCTCAGATCCGCTGTAAGTACTCCTACCCAATTCTGCCTATCAAACTAGGTGACAGTGAGCACTTCTAACATGTGTTTATATTCAAGTGTCACCACTTACAAATACTGGATTGTCGGCAGCTTGACAAACAACGTTAGCGAGACTGCTTTCCTCTCAGCGCTCATCAACGCTGTTGGTTCTTTAGGCTCCACGTTCGGCTTCGTAGTGTCTAAGATGAAGTTCGACTACAATGGCGCCTGCGCTCTTAACCTCGCATTATTCTGGCTCTCAATGCCTAGTCTTGCCTGGGTTGTCTACACAAAGGTTCACGAGACCTCCCATGGCACCAGCTTGACCGGCATTGCTGAGGTTCAAGATGTACAAGAGGACTCTTCGTCAGCTGACGCACCAGCACCAAAAACGGAAAATGGTAAAACATCACTACAAATTAAAGAGAAGAATCTCATTGTGTAGTCATCCTTCATCCGTAATTGTTGATGGGGAAATGAACGAGCATTACTCGAGGGAAGATGTCGTCTTCTGGTTTCCATTGGGAATGCATGACAGCTTACTACTTTATCGAATAACAAAACAATGCATGCTAGATGAATTACAAATCGACTGAAGAATATAAGAACTTGTATCGCTTTGAGATATGTGACCATGGATTGATCCTTCCTTTCAGTTATACAGTGCTCTCCACCAAGCCCAAGAAGCTAAACCACCAAAAGCAAACCAGTGGCCGAAGGCTTTGTACCTCAATTTCTCGCCACCATGAAACCAAATAATGAAACCATCCCCAAGGCCTGCAAGAGCAAGAATAGCAGCGAATGCCGTGACTGCTGCTTCGTTGCCTTGATACTGAAATGCTACGAGAGCCAGTCCATAGGTTCCTTCCCGAATACCCTTGAGCGACATCGATATCGTTGTAGCATCGGCGCTTGAATCTGCGATTGGTTTATTGTTTTGGAAAGTGGACGGCGGTGACGGCGCCCCGATCGGAAGGCCGAAACGACCATATTCTTTCTTCGGTGCGAAGAAACAATTCAAGCTCAGGCCGATGCTTCCGATGCCTATGATGTATGCTGGTAGTGGAGAAAAAGCAGCCATCCTATCAATCGCAGGTCTTGCTCTAGGTATCGAAGCAACCTTTCGAGTAAGTCTCAAAGAGTCTAGATTGTAGGGCAGACTTTGTATGCGAAAGAGATCAGTGATCTTGTCTTTTTATCAGGTCATTGAGGAAATCTGGTTGTAAAAATGATGAAAGTAATAGGTAGGCGAATAATGATCGGCACAGAACAAGCTCGGATTCATTACCGACTTCCGGCGGCGCATGAACGAAATATCAAATAACTAACGTGACATCTTTAGAGTGGCAGGATTATCGCTTTTGCGGGGCATGGCATCGCAATAACTGCGTGTCAGCATCGGAATGACACTGTATACTCGCATTCTCTGAACGAAAAAGTGTTTTAGGACCTGTGTCTAGTCTTTGCGGCGTTGAAGAAGAACAGGTAGTAGTCATTCAGACTTATCTGACAAAAATAGCACCAAAGAAAAATCCATTGCAATCAACGGCATCGGGAATCCTTAGATTGCCTCACCAGCAAATAATTATTCCCAACATACTTACCTACAACCCCTATATCATGAAGACTTCCAATCCTTTCTGCAACTTAAGACTGTCTTCATCGCTTCACCAAGCCACCCTTGCAAGCAAGCCTCGGGGCCATTGTCTAACAAAAAATTTCCTCGCCTCATCCAAAAGCAATATCCCCAGGCCGAACGTCATGGGTAGGAACCAATGTTCTACTGGAACATCGGCAGTGCCTAGCACGTCCTGTAGACGAGGAATGTACAGCCAGAAGAATGCCATGACGACAGCAAACAGAATAGCCGGGAAGAGCCACAGATTCTGCGTGCGTTTATTGAAGATAGGAGGGTGCTGGAAGATAGAAAGACGCCTCGTGCGCACGGCTAGTAGGTTGAACCATTGCCTAGGAGAACGTTAGTAATTACGGTGATGGCTAACGTGCATTGACCTTACATTACGACTAGATTGACAAAGTAGATTGAGCTAGCCTCATTGAGCTTCTGTGTATAGTAGTCTGGATCGATGTCACTCGGCAGGTTACCGAATGAGAACCACTGAGCCGTGAATGGAATTCCCTTGCGCTGCATATACCAATATGACATTGCAAAAGAGGCCGTTGTCTCAAGCATACCCACAAAGCCGTAGCTCTGTAGAATGAGCTTCCAGTCAACAAGCCGGTCAGTGCCAATCTTCCTTGGACGACGGCTGAGGACATCGGCTTCGGGAGCTTCGTACGCAAGAGCAGTAGCAGCCAAGCAGTCGGTGAAGCAACTAGAATAGCTCCGTTAGTATTACTCCCACATAAAAAAAATCAAGAATATTCACCAGATGATAATCATTAAGAAGCTGCTCAGAATCTGAGGCAATCCGAACGCGACATTCGTCATGACAGGCCAGAACTCGCTGAAACTTCCTGCAGGAAGCAGGTAGGCGATCGTCTTCTTCAAGTTGTCAAACATTGTTCGGCCAAACCGGACAGCCTCGACGACGCTAGCAAAACTCTCGAGAAGAACCATATCAGCAGCCTCGACAGCAATGTCGCTACCACTGCCAACCGCAATGCCGACATCTGCTGCTCTCAGGGCAGGTGCGTCGTTAACACCATCACCTGTCATTCCGACGACGTGGCCACGAGATTGTAGCTCTCGCACAATGCGAAGTTTCTGCTCAGGGGTCGTTCTCGCGAAGACGACTTCGCTATAGGAGTTCGACAACTGATCCCACTGAGCGTCATTAAGAGCAATGAGGTCGCTACCGCTAACGACGATAGAGGTCGGGGCCGCGTCTTCGAGCCTATCTTCTCCGACTGTGACGGTCTTGCTGTCGGTGGGATTCCGTGAAAGAGCAGAAACATCAGCCACAGCTGACGTGTCGTTAGTGATGATTCCGCATTCTCTAGCGATAGCTCTAGCGGTAAGGGCGAAGTCGCCAGTAACCTAACATTGTGATTAGTAAGTAGATTCGGATTGAATGCAAGACAAGTATGACGTACCATGAAGATTCTGATACCAGCACCTTTCAAAGTCCTAATGACGTCTGGGATCTCAGGCCGAGGAGGGTCGACGATAGCAACCAAACCGACCAGAGTCAATCCAGACCTGGCTTGGGTAAGCATTTCAGTCTCGAAGGCAGATGAGATAGTTGACGCCTTGACTGAGTCCCTCGAGATAGTCTTATGAGCAAGCAGAAGCACTCGTCGGCCTTTAGCTGACCACTCGTTCTTCATGATCTCAATCTTCATACGAGCTGCCTCGTTCATGGGGTGAGATGCGCCAGAGCTCCCAATATAACGAGAACATCGATCAATCAGTATCTCAGGGGCACCTTTGATAGTAAGAAGCCTGCGCTATGTTAGTAGGCCTTTTAGGGAGAGGTTAACCATTTGATGGCTTCACTCACATATCACCGGCTTCAAACACCGAAGCAGCATCAGTAGGCATAGCATCTCGAACCCCTTCTCGGTTGGCAAGCCCTAGCACCCTTATCATGAATTTGTTCTTGCTATTGAATGCGAGGTCAAATTTCGACTGCCAGAAACGCTTCAGCTCAGACACCAGTCCAAGAGTCTCGGCAAAGCGTAGAATAGCCTGATCAGTGGCATCGCCGTGAATCTTTCGTTCAGAGATGGGCAGATGTCTAGTCGCCGCATCGAATTCTCCAGCGTTACAGAGACCGGCAACAGTTCGCAGCTGCTCAATGGCGTTGCTGGCCAGCTCCGTGCTGGTATTGCGATCAGCAATGAGTCGGTCTCGCGCTTCATCTGCAGTCATTTTCTCTACACCGACGGCGCAGTCTGTCACGATCATTTTGTTCTAGATATAATGGTTAGTTTATTGCCAGCATATCAAGTCAAGGTGACTTACCGCAGTCAGTGTTCCGGTCTTATCGGAGCAGATGACCGACACTGCTCCGAGGGTCTCAACAGTCTTGAGAGATTTGCAAAGGACTTTATTCTTTCGCATCATATTGGCGCTGATCGTCAGACTTGCTGTCAACGCAACAGGTAGACCCTCTGGAATGAAAGCAACTGCAACGGAGACACAATCGACAATGAGTGTTGGCACATTGATCCAATTGGGATATTCTCTCCTCAGCCAAGCAGCCCTGCGGATTTCAGTCAATATTTTCAGCAGATATATTGGTTATTGCGCTTACCAAAGAATAATGACAAGAATAATCATCAAGCCCATGATAGAACAGATGATATACACGAAATTCAGGACTTCTCTCTCCAGCGTTGATAAGCCGGTTTTAGGCTCGTTGGTAAGCTTGGCTATCCTGCCAAAGACAGTCCGGTTTCCAGTCGCGACGACGATGGCGATGCAAGTTCCAGAGACACAATGCGATCCTTGTAAGCCAATACATTTGGTCTCGAGATAATTCTTGTCTGTCGACTCAATCTCCGCAGACAATGGAACCGATTCACCTATGCACATTCCCTGGCTGAGCTCGCGTTTTCAATATATGCAAGGTAGGTTAAGGCTCACCAGTAAGAATTGATCGATCAAATTTCGCGTCAGATGAGACTTGGACAAAACGCACATCTGCAGGAAGCTTGTTGCCTGCCTTGACAAGCAGAACATCTCCAGGTACTATTTCTGCAGCGAGAAGCGTTACCTGAGCCCCATTCCGCAGCACATGACACTCCTCAGGCAGCATTGTCTTGATGGATGCCATGACACGCGACGAAGACCAATCTTGCCACAGGTTGAAGGCAGCTTGAATAAAGAAGACAGCGAGAAGGACGATTGCCAGTGCCAAATTTGCGGGAGCAGGAGGGTTGCCCAGAGGCTTCCAGGCGACGAAGACAAGGATTGATGCTACGAGCAACACGGATCCGAAGCCTTTGAAGAAGTATCCAAATATTTTTCTGAAGCGATGAGTTTGAGGAGGCGAAGGGGCGTTCTTGCCATATTGTTCCACTCGCCGGCGTATTTGATCATTTGACAAGCCGTCTTGAATCGAGGTGGACAAACGTCGAGCAACTTCATCAATGGAGATAGTGTGCCATTCGAGATCCGCGAGATCTAATAAGACATGTGCTGTTAGTTACGAGATACATGCCTTGCATCACTGTGTTTTCTATACAGTAACTCTCTGCCTACACATGTATATATGTCATGCAGAATGACACAGTGTGACGCAAGATGAGAAGGTTAGCGATACTCACCAGTGACAGCTGCGCCCTTGACACCCTTGGCAATAGCATTCTTGCGATTGTAGTCATCGATATCAATGGAACTATATCATTAGAATTGTAATGGTCGGCATGCAGTACGCAGGAACTTACAGCGTCCGATACTGGATAGGAAGAGCAGCCGATGGATCGATAGGGCCAGAGGTGGAATTTACGCTATGAATAGACAACGAGCCTTGGGAAAGACCTCGGCGTAGACGGGGACGACCCTTGGTAACGGCCTCTTCATCCTGCCACTGGAGTCGATCTCCAGGACGTGCTTTAGCCGCAGATTCGTCAGGATCCATCATGATTGGCGAGTTTGAAGGAGGTCGATGAGCAACAGAGCAGGTGAAAGGGTTGGACAAATGATACACTGTTGGCAAATATCTGGGAGAGTACACGGCGGAGGGAGCTTTATACTGGAGGGTGACCCAGGAGTATAGTCAACCTAGTGTTCTGGCAAGACCACGAAGCAAATGCGGCAAGGTGGCTTGCTACCAACGGTGCAAGTAACTCCCAAGTGCAGTTGCCAGCACAAGAGGCTCTTCAGGCTACCTTGCCCGAGACTACACAACTATGTTACCCGATAGCAATCTCCAGTTGGCGGACCATTCCGGTAAGGGCAGCTACTACTACTGTTGCACAGCCAACGTTCCTTGTCTGGGCATAGAGCAGCCGCCGAAGGTGACGCACATTACTCGAGTTTCCAGTAGCTCAGGATGCCGCAGTGCAAGACTGATGCTGGTTTGACTAAAATGGGCTACCCTACTGTTCTTCCGCCTTTGTTTGCGCGCGAATTACGGCGCAATTTGACATGATAGACGGAGGACTTATCGCCACGAGAAGAAGAAGACATGGTGGAGCCAGAAAAATTCGCAAGACACAAGTGCAATTCGATCCAGCTAAGTAATATAGAACAGCTTGCAGAGAGCACGATGGCTCAATGGGAATGGAAATGGGAAAAGATGGGAGGGGGAAATCTTCGAATAGCCAAATAGAGCAGAGGCTCGCAGGCGGGTAAGGAGGAGGCAGTCCCAGTCGCAGGCCTGGAAATTTGATGTTAGGGGTCAGATGAACGATGACAGTGGGGTAAAGGCGTTGGAGGGGGCCCAGCAGGCGGTCTCAATCCGCGCCGCCAACGAGAATTTTCTTGATTTTCGAGCGGAGGCTTACGGGATTGATTGACGATAGAACTGGTAGAAGCAGGAAATGTATGAAGAATTGCCTCATATTCATCCACACTAACTCGAGTAGAAGAAAGATGCGAGAACTTGGGATGGATGCTGGGAAAGCGTAGAGGATTAACAGATCGTGCGAAAGTCGCTCATAGCTGGCAGAGGGAAGACTGCTACAGCGGCTGATATCAAGATTCATGTCCCATCGAGTACCTCTTGACCTGCTCCAAGCAAGGTCAGTGTTGGAGTCAGACAATATGACTAGGTACATATCAGATACGGCCGCCGCCCTAGTTACTTGCTTCGCCTTTCTCTACTTTGGCTTACCGTATTTGGCCTTGTCCATCCGAACGAACACACGGCACTTGCTCACACGTGCTGCCGAGTTTGAGGTATTATTTCGGATCTGAAGAGAGTCAGTTACTTGTAACCGTCTCCACAGAGAGTGTGTTTGTTTGCCCCAAGACTTAGACGCGTCTGCCCTACCAACAGTGAGACAAACGGGGCGCTCGGGCCAGTTACTGGACACAGCCACCGCCATAGCCTCAAAGCTTGGTGCCTTTCGGCGTGTATTCCATTGGACAGTTCCGTGTTAGTCCTACGTCAGATCGTCAAGGCTTCATCCCCTGCTGCAGGTCGATCGGTCCCCCTTGAGCCCCCTACCTCTCCCCAGACATACAGCTCAAGCTAGAGCTCGAGCTTCAGTTGATCTGCCGGGTGTAGCGTCCAACCACAAGCGATGTGGATGTGTGAAACGTAGAATCCTTTTACATAAACGCGCCGCATCTTATTCGCATTCGAGGTACCCTAGGAGAGAGCCGGAGGAGGAACCCCTACTCTCGTGTTATCGCTTTCCTGCCAGCTCCTCCAAGATACCCCTGAAAACAAGATGATGCTTTCCATTCTCCATTAGATCATGAAACTGTCGGCCATCCTAACCTTTCTCACGGCTTGCCAAAGTAGGTAATCCTCCTGAGGCCTCCTCTGCAATAGGCACATGCACACCTCTGTTTCTCTCATCCACCTCGCTGATCCACAAGCACGGGGAATATCGCCGATTCCGCTAGTTTGGCATAATGTCTCTCATGTTGTTTCGTTTGTCCATGCGTTTCAATGTGTCATGGCTGGTTCATTGATCGATCCAATGTGCGATGTTATTTTTCTTTGCAGCCGCTTCCACATCGTTTTCTCTGCCCCCCTGCATTCTCAACTTCCACCTTCTCACTATTCCTCTCTGCAGGCAGTATATACACCATCTTTCCAATGCATTACCACCCCAAAGACGAGTTGTGCTTCCCTCCGTGGTGTCTCTGACGCGTTCTCGGATCAGTGTACGGGTCCTGATTCTGCGCAACTCCAAATCACGGTGGGAAACTAGCTTGTTAGTTGGTCGATATGAAGAGCCCTAGGGCTTTGGTGCGATCACAGTAGAGATAGTAGTGAAGGAGATAGAGAGCTTTCATTGGAATTCTAAGAGGTTCCAACAATAACATACCAAAGCAGAGCATCATCATCAAGAGATTTGAATTGTACCCTCAAGCCAACAAAGTTCTTACTGCCGTGAATTAGACCTAGGTACATTACTACAAAGAAGAAATGAAGCCAAGGTTGACATTCAGTTTCATCGAACTGCCAAGGTAATAACTCACTTCATAGAGCCTCGGTGGGAAGGTCTTGTACTTATTGTGGCTTCTCTGGCGTAGAACCAGCACGAAACACACACACACACACACACACACGACGCGGCCATTGAAAAGACTTGCAGTACCCATAAGGTGGGATTTAGATGGCGATCAAATATACCTAGGTATTCATGGTTTCCTACCAATCTAGTAGAAAGAGATACTCTCTATGGCAATGCTTATAAGCCCACTCCTCGAGTCGAGACAGTCCTTCCAACGCCAGACCATGCAATCAGGGCTAGTTCCCACTTGCCCAAACCAAATGGCAGCCCATTCAACATCCATCGTTGAAGTGAGATGCGTCGTCGTCAGTCTCTTACCGACGAGGTCCTCCACGACCACCCTGCACGCCCATCATGCCACCCATGCCCATTTGGCGCATCATTGCCTGCATGTCCATACCGCCCGGCATCCCACCACCGCCACCTAGCATCTTCATCATGCTGTTGAGATCCGGCATGCCACCAGCGCCTCCAGGGCCGCCCATACTTTGTAGTCGTTTCTGCATTGCGGCGAGCTGCTGTGCCTTGTTGCCACCTGCCATGCTCGCTTGCGCTCTCTGCATGTTCTTCATGTTTCCGCCCATCTTCTTCGCCATACCAGCCATCATTCGCTGCTGTGTGAGGAGATCTTCAACTTCCCGAACAGTGGTGCCTGACCCCCTAGCTACTCTAGTCATGCGTGTGGGCTGGTCAACGAACATCTTTCCGTCGGAATCAAGTTCCTTGTCCGTCATCGAATCACAAATGTAGATCATGCGCTTGAGCTTGGCAGATCCCTCCTCGTCGTCCATGCCCTGCATCATGTTGCTCATGCCAGGGATCATACCGGCCATCTTCGAAAGCGGTCCCATCTTCATAATATTTGAGAGCTGGTCCCGAAGATCTCGGATCGTAAAGACACCCTCGGCAATGTGCTTGATTGTGTCCTTTTGATCCAGCTTCAGTGACTGGACGTGCTCAACGAGGCCAGCCATGTCGCCCATTCCCAGCAACTTTGAGATAAATTGGTTTGGTGCAAAGCGCTCCAAGTCCAGCATGTGCTCTCCAGTACCGATAAAGACAATGGGTGTATGTGTTGCCGCGACAGCTGATATAGCTCCACCTCCGCTGGCATGACCATCCGTTTTGGTGATGATGATGGCTCCGAAGTCTGCAGCCTCCTTGAATGCCTTTGCTTGCGCCTCAGCTTGCTGGCCGATTGACGCATCAAGCACCATAATTGTTTCGTCCGGCCGGATCGCTGACTGAATGTCCACCATCTCCTGGAAGAGAGCCGCCTCTTGCCTGTGTCGACCGGAGGTATCGACGATAATGACTTCGAACCGCTCCTTCTTGAACTTCTCCACACCCTCCCTCGCCACGACAGCGGGATCAGTCTCCGTCAAGCTCCCGTAATACGGAATCTTCGCTTTCGTTGCATTTTGTTTCAGCTGATCAAACGCACCAGCACGGAAAGTATCCGCACATACGAGACAAGCCCTGAAGCCTCTGCTCTGGTAGTGTCGCGCCAGCTTTGTACACGTCGTTGTCTTTCCGGCACCTTGCAGACCAACAAACATGATGACGTTGGTCTTTCCCTTCTTCGGTTTGAATGGTTCGGCATGGGGATCGACAAGGCGGACGAGTTCGTCGAAGACTGCTTTTTGAATCAGGCGCTTCTTGTTCACGGCGGGTGGCAGCTCTTTGAAGTTGACGGTCGATCGGATGGACTTGCGCAGCTGACCAACAAGGCGCACGTTGACGTCGGCTTCTAAAAGAGCGGCGCATATCTCCTTCAACATAGAATCAAAGGCCTAAGCAGAGAAAGTCAGCGATGGTCAATCGGGTTTGAAGGATAGAGCTATCAATAGCGAACCTTTTCATCAAGATTAGGTGCTCTCGTTAGATCGGAGACGGCCGCATTAATGCGACGGCCTAGATCCTGAAGAACCATTGCGAGGTAATGCGCGGCTTAGGTGCCGCCGAGCCTGTGCAAAGACTGTTGGATGTTGGTTGATGATGGTATGAATGTGAAGTCGAAATCCGACCAATATTGGTGGGGCACGTGCGGGGCAGCATTGTAAGGCCACACCACCACCGCCTTGCGTCACTTCCATCGCCGGCTGGCGTCGCTGCCTGACAGCTGGCAGGAGCCCCTTTTCCTTGGCAACTGCATTCAGAGGTACATTCATTTTCAGATTGTCCCAGATATCGACTTGGCGGCACTTTACAGTACAATATTTTCACATGTGCACTCCAGATGTCACAGATAAGAGACACCTCATGGGATCAGGTTCTTTCAGTAAATAGGACAAATATGAGACAGATATGAGATTAATGCAAGCTAAAGGAGTGTGGTAGAGGCCTCGGTAGAACATAAAAGACAAGAAGAAGTGCATAAAAAGCATATCCGATTATCATGTGCTTCGGTAAGTCATTTTTAGAACCAAACTCAAGCAACAAGTCCACGCCCATTCGCGTCTCTAGGGTTCGACTATAAGGAAGTTATTCAAACTACCAGTGGGGAGCAAGTCTGGAGATTAACGACAACGTTGATAGTTCCCTAGCAAATCGTTAACAACCAGTGTTCGTCCTTTCATGACTAAGGATAATCTCGAGGGTTTATTTAACTAACAATTGGAGCCGGATTATTGTTGCAGCAGTACAATTTCTGACCACAGCTGTCCCCAATAACCTGGACATTACACAAAACCCCAGCGCAACAGAATTGTTTTTGAGCGCCTTCGCAGGCGGTCCCGGAGCCATCATTCCTAGCTTGGACATCAGCAGGAGCTGCGGAGACAAGCAGAGCCATGCTGAGGGCAGAGATGATGGTGTTGAACTGCATGGTGGCCGGTAAGGTCTTTATGATAAAGTTTAAAGTATATTGTGAAGTATTTAGACTGAGTGTCTAGAGATAGAATTTGAGTGATTGAAATTTCCTTTTGGTGATGATTATCGGGATGTGAAAGAACTGGAGGAAGACAGGACGCTTATATAGACAATTTTTTGAAAGAGTGAACCTCCACATCCATCTACATGTTGAATTTCCATTTATCTCGTCATTCGATCTTCGTTATTACTTTTTGCATCACCCTTGTGATTTCCTCTTGGAGTATTGGTCATATCATCCAGGCTTGTGCACACGGATCGACGGTAGTAGAGCCCAAAAGTAGTTCAGAACGTCATCGATGCATGGGTGCCAAGGGTGCCTGTGAATATGTTCATGCATCTGCGACTCTCTATGGTTGAAACGTAATGTAGTCGTATTGATCGACACTCCCACCATCATACCGGCTGAGCCGCTCAGAACATGATTCCATGTGTTGTTCTTCACACAATGCTGAACTCTCTGTTCCCGACCATCAAGGATACATAGCTTTACCAAACCCGACGTCGATGTGAAGCTGTCAGTATAGCAATATAGGTTTCATATTCATTGCTATTCTTGCCTTTGAATACATCATCTAGAAGTTTGAAAACATGAAGAATGTCTATATCTCTATCTCTGGAAACTGTTTCTATTTCTGCAAAACTCTGAGAGTGATCCGCATCTTGACTTGATTCAGGAAGGTCTGACTTCTGTGGTGTTACATTGGACGGTAATTCAAAACAAGGAAATATTCGAGTGAACGCCTCGTTCCCATGGATGGCTAATATTCAACCCGAAGGCACTTTTCTCACACTGTTCTGTTGGGGGCACAGATCTTGAAAACGGACATGATCGGCCAGAACTCATCAGGATGTAGAGCTCCGTTCACCTTGCGACTAGAAGGATTTTTCCAACGTACGGTAGTGGATACTTGAATGCCAATGTAAAGCGTACTATAGACGCCTTTTTATGTCATAGACTCGTCAGGTTTGATGTAAGTGGTTATATACCGGACCCTCTCTAACCTTCTCATTGGCCTGTTCTGGACCAGTTTCGAAGAAGTGCTACCCACCGGAGCAGCGTTAATGAAGACGCAGAAGGACATTCAGCGCCCGACAAGCGGAAAGCAACCAGAATATTGTCAGAAGATATGAAATGAGACTCTATTTGAGTACCACATATGTTAAGGAACTGATGCAGACCGCCGTTAATGAACGTTTTGAAGAGTAGAAGTCACCATCGCCAGACGCCGCAGTTCCGATACTCGTGTAGGGCTGTACTGGTAAGAATTACTTGATTTTCGTGCCCAATTGTTTTTCACTCTTTTACCTAGTCATCACAAAGACACTCCAAAACGGTCAAAAACCTTGAAAGTACGCTGTGGAACCACACAGAGTTGCATGGCCATTCTCTTCTCTCGGAGCCTTCAACAAACCTGGGTGCCATGATCAACTCCCAGGCACTGGCCGTCACAGTCTCCACCTTCTCAACGCCACATATATGCCCTCCAGCTGTGAAGTCCAATCTCGACGCCAACGTGGCCAGCTGCAGCAAATCTCCGATAGCCCACATGCCTTCAGCTACCCGAAACTATGCAATTTAGTTCACGGAGACATCCGTCTGCTTGGTAGGTTCGTTCGTGACAAGCATGTGCTTTTCCTCCGCTAATGGCAATGTAAGTCGGTCAGGAGGAAGACTCGCTCAGCCAATCCGTAAGCTAAAGGTTGCAGCCCTCGACCAGCCTTACTTGTCAGATTCTGTATCAGCTTGGATAGGAGAAGCGAGAGCCACCTGTCTTCAAGGTGGGAAAAGCCCAACTTGCTAGGAATCATACGATAGCCGGTTGTGAAGCCCATCAATCTGGGTATTTTGTTACACAACCAGCGGCTGGTTGCAGGAGACTAAATTGAGGCTGGGCCGTTCAGCTGTGGGAATTGCGCCTAATGCAACGACGACGTCTATCACTGGCTATAGAACAATAGAGCCTGCTTAGAGTCCTGTGGCTTATGCATCACATTGCGGAGGTCGGCTCCGTAGTGGCGTAGTAATGTGAGGTCTCGGGGACTATTCGTAGGTGATAGTGAAAAGAGACTTACGCTACTACCATTGACTATTCTCAACTACCTCCGTGTAGGAATGATTGTAGATTGGGTGAACAAGGATAGCACATAATAACGTCATGCTAATCTCATGAAAAGCTTGTGGCTGATTGTACATTTCGAACTTCAAATTTGATCAAGGAAAGTGACTCGGCTCTTTTGAAATGACTTGATACTTCTCACACGGCTAATCATGTTAAAATCGAGCGGGTTTCCCCCAATCCAAGTGTTGATGTAGCCAAAGTGCACCTATAGCACCTCACCCAGGTGCTCAGGCATAGCCCAAACTACATGTCCGTTGAAATTATATAACGTAAGTTGTTCACAATACGGTAAGCTCACAAAGCAGCCACCCGATAACCTTCAACAGGTCATGGGAGCTTTCCATTTGTCTCAATATAGCAGCCGCGTGCCAAGGATTGCAGATGTAGGAAGGCGTCCTAGGAAAATGTTGTACGACGGCATAAAAACAGAAATTGAGCTTCGGAGAGAAATCATGAAGACCACCGCTTATATGTGCAACATGGATTCTTCCCATTGCTCATGAAAAAGGGCAGCAGTGTATACTGCTAACCAACACCCACTCAAGATATCACATAGCACACACACAAATAGAAGCCTCCAGGGCATGAGAATGTACTGATGACGAAGGAGGAGCCATTCTTGTATTTTTTTTAGTAGTAACAGCTAAGTGAAGCGAGTAAAATGAAGTAAGTAATAGCAAAGTTAGTCACCTGACTGCTGGCAGGTAAGACCACGCTCCCCCAACTCACTGTGAACAGATAAAATATTGTTAGAAGCTCAAGTTTGCTGACAAGCATCTCATGAAGATCCCATACCTTGCTGCACTTGGTTGTTGGCTAGAGTTAACACTAGCCGCATTGATGCTGGACTGATACGTTCATTTTCGACTAAGCTCATATTCTGACCTTCCTTTTTTTCAACTGGTTCCTGGTCTGCTTATGAGCACATAGCTTTTTTGCCACTTTTTTTTGGTCGGATCTTGTTGAAGCGTCAGATGTATTGCCATTACTAGTCTCTTGCCCAGACCTTGACTATCTAAGTCCGGATGAAACAACAGATTCACACAGAAAAGAAGTCATTAATTTCATATGATGATGATAGAGATCCAGCCGACTGTGTACTGATACACAGTAATTTAAATTATAGAACTTTGATATCATATCTTCTTCACATTAAACGATATACTACACTTTACTATTTTCAGTCAAAGTCGGCTATAAGCAGAAGTCGAACTGTGAAGAAGTTCCACCTCAGATTAGTTGGATCAAAAATACCCACAGAATGCATTTCAGGTGTATAGTAATGAGATATGTGTATATAGTCACTGTATTTAGTGTGAACGGTCATGGAGATTACACTAGGTTTGCTTGGGAAGAGCCCAATGCGATCTCGATGAGAATCTAGTCATTCATGAATTAAACACGTCTAGTCTGATTACAAGATTGATTGAATCTAATCACTATTTAGAGTATGTACGACTGCGTGTGATCGGCATAGAGAACTAAATAGAAGCTTCACCATGAGCACATCTATAGATCTAGAAGAGAGAGAAGGCCTCATATTTTGGCTCTTATACTCGTCAGAATTTGTTGTGCTCATAGTAAAGAAGCTGGTGTTGTCACTCTTCAGATGACCCCACAATCTAAGTATTGCAGGGGGCCCCGCCCACCACGAGCCAAGTTGCGGCGCTGGCTTACTGTTAATGGACTGCCGCCCCTCACCGCTAAAAAGTTTGCTAGGGAAGCAACGGTACATCGCGGAGGTAACTTATTCAACCCACCTCTTCTCAATACAAAGACACGCATCGACTGGACCACTGACCGCCAGCGCACTTTGCATCACGCATCATGGCAGGAACCACTTTCAAGAAGAGAACTCGCGACGATGCTCCCAGGTCCAAGGCAGCTCGGCCATCTAAGAAGCAGAAGAAGCTGTACCAGTACCACAGCGACTCGGAGGAAGATGCAGCCGACAACGACGATGAGGGTGATTTCCAAGCCGTCAATCTCCTCGATTCCGATGAGGACCTCGAGAACGCAGAAGTAGACGATGGTGCATCGTCCGCGCCGTCGTCCTCAGACTCAGAAGCTGACAATGACGCCCCAACATCAAATTTCAAGGCCCGCGATGCTCCCCTATCAGATGACGGATCCGACGCCGACTCATACTCCGGTGACAGCGACGAGGATGGAGAAGGGGGCGGGGCGAGGAAGAAGACCAAATCAAAGCGCAATGACCCCACCGCCTTCGCAACGTCGCTCTCCAAGATTCTATCGACCAAGCTGTCGTCATCGCGGCGGGCGGATCCCGTCCTCGCTCGCAGTGCGGCTGCGCACGAAGCGAGCCGGCAAATTGTCGACACAGCGCTTGAGAGCAAAGCGCGCAGGCGGTTACGCGAGCAGAAGCGGCTGGCGATGGAGAAGGGCCGCGTCAAGGATGTGTTAATCGCGACGAACTCGACCGTGGATCCCACTACAGGGGCCGTAGAGGGGGTAGAAGGGGCGGAGACAACAGCGCAGATCCTAGAGACGGAACGGAGATTACGCAAAGTTGCACAGCGCGGTGTGGTGAAGCTCTTCAATGCTGTGCGTGCGGCACAGGTCAAGGCGGCCGAGGCGGAAAGACTAGCGAGGACAGACGGAGTGGTTGGTGTTGATCGGAAGAAGGAGAAGGTTACGGAGATGAGCCGTAAAGGCTTTCTGGACCTGATTGCATCCGGCGGTGGTGGTCTTAAAAAGGGAAAATTGGAAGAGGCTTGAGGAGCGTGAGACCCGAGAAACAGGCCATTCTGTGGATTCCTAGCGAGACCTCACGCAGCTCCCACGAGAGTGTGATGTCGTTGAGTTGGGTCTCATTACGCTGAAAGCGGTCTAACCAGCCACGGCTCCGCGCGGTGAAGCTGGTATGGGTCTAATATATAGATATACAGTTGCTCTCTCTCCAGAGCAAGATTCCGGCTCCATGCCGTCATGATCATAATGATATTTACACACAGGGACTATCCGAGCAAATCTCAAGGCTCTGTCCCGTGGATTTTATTACTCTCCAGACTTCTTCCCTTCACAACTCCCTGCATCACGACTTGAAGTCGCTTGCCTGCAGATTCCTTGTCATTGACGGCAGCTTCACCCTCAGCCCGTCCAGCTCCTCCGTCATGACGACCTGGCAGCCCAGTCGACTCGTCTCGGTCAGGCCAAATGCGAGATCCAGCATATCGTTCTCGTCGTCCTCGGGCTCGGGCATCTTGTCGTACAGGTCTTCGTCAAGCACAATTACGTGACATGTCGAACATGCACATGAACCGCCACAGGCACCTGAGTCCAAAGTTAGCCCGCGGCACTCGAGTGTTTTTCTAGAAACGCCAATTCCTACCTTCCATCTCTAGATCATTAGCCTGCGCTATATCCAGCAGGTTGTCGCCCTTAGCGACAGCGATCTTGTGCTCCATGCCCTCCTTGTCAATGAAGGTCACCCACAGCCTGCACGAGGTCAGTAAGCCAGCCAATTGCACAGATATATGCTCGCATACTCTTCACCGGGCTTAGGAGTATGCACATGGCCATGACTCAACGCCGGAGACGAAGAGAGCAGGCGGCGTTGTGTCGGATTTGAGCTCGGCCATTGCGCCGCCTGACATCGGGTATTTCGGGCTGTCCAGGGAGAAGGCCGGGGGAGTGGCAGCGTTGAGTTGCTGAACTGACGAACGCTTTGGGGTATTCTCGTCGCTTTTCTCTTGAGGCCCGAGTTGAGCCGTAGAATGCATTGGGCAAAGGGGCTTGTGGTCGTCATGGTTCGTGGAGGAGGGTTGATAGAAAATCGAGGCGAGGCTGCGGCTGCGGCCGAGTTTTGCGAAGGTCGGAGTCAGAGGGACGGCTGGGAGGAAGCAAAGCAAAGTAGAGAAGAAAAGGAAAGGAAAGGAAGGCTGGGCAAAGAGGCAGAGTGTCCGGGATATTCACTGCCTTTTTCGTCCGAAGCTTGTATATTGGTATGTTGGTTAGTAGGGTGTGGTTGTTTGCTAGCTGTGAAAGCGGCTTGCGTCTCTCAATGCATGGTGACCTTGCAGCTTTTCGAGATGTTCATAATTGTTTTGCGCCGACCTTCTCAAAGAAGACTCGCTCGGAGCTTGGACCAGGGAGTCTGCGCCGGCCGAGCTCGAATTCACCGTAGGAGCAGAGAGAGAAAAAAAAAGCCTTTCCCCACGGATGCAGTGTCATCATTCCTGCAGCAAATCAGCGGTGATGGATTTCCCTCATTAGCATGTCTCTCTTATCGCAATCGGCTCAGGCAATAATCCGCTGCCGGGGTGGGCTCCCCCCTTATCTCCGAGATGATTTCACTGGTGCTGGGCATCACGCAAAAACAGTGCCGTAATAGAGTGTCTAGTAAAGAGAGCTCAGGAGACAAGTACCTCAGAATTCATGCGCGCTTCAACAGCCGCAGAACCATGAGAGAGAGAGCGCGCTGATCCACCACCACTATCACGCCTCCACCATGTCTAGTCACAGAGACGGGGTGAATCCCCTCCGGCCATACTACATTCCGCCGTCCATTGGCGAAGCTCAGGAGCCGCCGACACACGTCCCCGGCCCAAACCCGTTCTCACACGGCAATGCCACCGGCAAGTACGCGTCCAAGGCACGCGACATCTTCTCCGACCTCGATTACAAGGACTACATCGCAGAGCCTTCGCCCTCCGCCGTCAGGACGATCAAGGACTTGGTCGATGAGCTACTATGGAAGTACACATCCGTGCTGATGGCACAGCCATTTGAAGTGGCCAAGACAATTCTCCAAGTTCGCAGTCAAGACGATCTGGGTGCACTCACAGCTTTGCCGTCGCCTGCCGAAAGACCACGACCACCGAGTCATAGGAACTCGATATTCGACGAGGTTGGTGCTTGTCGCATATGTTGAAGCATATGAATGATTGAGACTGCTAGTCTGCTTACACGATCCATGCACAGTTACCAGACTCCGACTCAGACCCGGACGAGCCGGCCTATTTCACATCGAATATCCCAGGAACACCAACCCCATCACAACCTCGTTCGCAGAGGCAAAGGGTCACGTCTCCCTTGGAGTCGCCGCGGTTGCCAAAGAAGCCTGAACCCGCGCCGCATCACCTCAACATCAGACGCCCAGACTCTATAACTGAGGTCTTGTCACAAATATGGCAGAAGGAAGGCGCATGGGGCGTGTGGAAAGGATCCAACGCTACCTTTCTCTACAACGTCTTGCAGTCATTGCTGGAGAACTGGTCAAGAAGCTTGCTAAGCGCCCTGTTCAACGTGCCGGATCTGGGCGTCAAAGACGATTTGGACCGGTTTATTGACATCGCATCACCTTATCCGTGGGCATCGCTGTTCGTCGCTGCTGCTGCCGCCGTAGCGACAGGCCTCATTCTCTCACCTCTCGATATTGTCCGAACTCGGTATGTCTATAATGCACGGCCTACCATTTCTGATTGTGACTAACAGTGCTATTCCAGTCTCATTGCGACCACTACCTCCAAATCACCCCGCCGAACTCTACCCATTCTACGCTCCCTTCCGTCATACACCTGTCCGCCGAGCCTCGTCATCCCCACAGCTCTGCATTCTCTCGTCCATCCACTCCTAGCATTGACTACGCCTCTTGTGTTGCGGACAAAGTTCATGATTGATCGTGAGGTATCACCCACGACATTCTCAGTGGCCAAGTTCTGCTCGTCCTCAGTCGCACTCTTCATCAAACTCCCGCTCGAAACGGTGTTGCGCCGAGGACAAGTGGCGGTGCTGAACAGTCCCTCTTATATGCGCGCAATCGAGCCCTCCGTAGTTATGAAAGCCAAGGCTCGCGAGGACAAGGCCTCTATGGACACTATCATACAGCCTGGCAAGTACAATGGCGTCTTTGGGACGATGTCCACCATTGTTCACGAGGAAGGCTCACATATGATACTACCCGCTCCGACAAAAGGGAAGCCCGCTACGAAGAAGAGCAAAACCAAGGTAGCCGAGACGGTCTACCGAAAAGGTCAGGGACTGGAGGGTCTCTGGCGAGGATGGAAGGTCAGTTGGTGGGGTCTCGTCGGACTCTGGACTGCTGGCGTGGTTGGCGGCGGTGGAGACGGCGAGTTTTAGATTGACACTTAAGCTGCTGCTTCTCGATGACTTGCTGAGACTGGGTGCGATGGCGTTCGGTGTTTTGTTTTCGGCAGGTACAACGAATTCTCTCCTCATGATGGTATGATATCCCAACTTTTTGTCCGCATGTGGACTGTTCTGTAACTCCTGTACATTTTGGCTCGAAAGGTCCCAGAGATGTTCCATTATAAGCCAGTCGATATACTCAGGATTGAGCTGAGCCCTTAAATTGAGGTGTCTACCTAGGTGGTGTTCTCCTGGAGTCTTGCGTCCATAGGCCATTCATCCCCATACCATTCGCTGTCTATAATTCGATTACCACATCGTGGCTTGATGCCTAATTGACTGGCATACTTATCTCGCCCGGCAGATGTGAGAGAATAGCAGACAGTCAGAAAATCTTCAAACCTTTCCAGGCATATTATTGATATTATGTATCGAGTAACGCTAGTTGGCTAGGTACCAAACGCGAAGTGTTTACGAGTTGTAACGAGTACAGCAGAAGTCGACCAGACAAAGATGCTAAGAGTAGAGGTTCGTGGAATGCCTGAACAGTAGGACAACATGGGCAAGTCAGTCTATAACTAAAATATCAAATGTCACGTATCGGAGTTGCAGCAGTCGATGGCCAACCGCATTGACACCCACTCGAAAGCGGCACAACCAAACACTTTCAAAACCATACTTTCCCATTTGGTCAAAGCACAACTAAATAATGGATAGAGTCGCCTCAGCTTAGGAAGCTATTGAATGATAATGATCATTTTACTAAATCGACACGCGATTTTCTTCCTTGAAAGGTTACCCAGGTAGGATTCAGTGCCAGAATGTTGGCGGATTGGCTACTACGTCCTAGCCAGCCGGCGGGTGGCCTCAAGTGGCGGAGAGCCCCACTTTCAAGACTTACACTGAGCCGTGCTGACTCGAGTCCGCGCCAAAAGTTCAAGTCACTCCATCGCGTCTCCATCACCTCTACACATTTCATAATGTAAAATAACGCAACTTCTGACCAATTACAGGTCTTGTGGCTCAATGGTAGAGTATCTGACTACGAATCAGGGGGTTGCAGGTTCGAGCCCTGCCAAGATCATTGTAGACTTCCTGTCATGAATTTTTTTTTTTTGCATAGGTCATGGTTGTGTCTTTTTGCGGATCTCTTCGAATTTGGGGCATTCCCAAGGGTTCATTACGCCTAAAAATGGGTCGGAGCCCTGAGTTAATGGCCTACGTGGTGTGGCTGTTGAGCCTTTCGACACAAAACGCTGGCAGCCTACCAGAGTACCTCACCACCTTCTTCGTATATGTGTTCATCACGCTTAATTCTTTACGCAGAACATGTTGCATTATGACCTCGCTCATTCGAGAAGTCTTGCGTGCCAGTTATGGTTCAAGAAAAGTCGCCTTTCATTCAATATACCCGTCTAGTTATGACAGAAGTGGGCACATACTGCAATCTCATATTCAAGCCTTTTACATCGACTCCAAATAAGTCAAGCGCCTAGGGATATTTCCCTTGGCTCGGTCTGATATTCCGTCCCCCACATGCAACTCTAAGTCCATGGTTTTGCCTTTTCATGATGCAGTCATGCATAGCGTTGCCTTAAGTTCGCCCAGTAGTCAATATCGGGAAAGTAGTTGTCGAACCCCATAATAAGCCGGATGGCCGGCTTCAACTCTGGTAGTCTCCCTAACGTCTGCTGTACCCAATCATGTTTCTTATTCAAATCATACATCCACCTGCCCGGAAAGATGTCTTCTTTGTCGATATTAGGGCTCTCATCATCAAACAACCCTGACAATAGTCGGTATTCGGCAATAACTCTGTCTCTCTTCTCCCACCATGATTTGCGGCAGTCCATGCAAAAAATCGTCGCTTGCCTGGATACTGAATTGTATCGAGCCTGCCCACATGTCCAGTTCAACTCTCCGAGACCCAGTAGCTCTTGCAGTGTGTCTGTGTCTTCGAGATCAACTATCTTGGTGATATGCTTCTCCCCTAAATTCGGAAACTGCTCTGTCGTCCGCCAGGTATGCCAGTATGGAATATGCTCAGGATCAAGTTCGCGCACTTCTGGGGGCCACTTTATCTTAGAGCTAACGGGCGGACATTTGAGCCCTGAGAAATTTTGTGATCGATGACTGGGTAAATACAACACAATCGTTTGTGTCACAACAGTCAAGGACGGTAACTTCTCCAAGTCTGACAAGGTAATTGAACGAAGCTCCCAGCTCAAGCCATTGAGATTGAAGGCTAAACTCCTAAACATGGGAAATACGGTCAAATATGGGGAAGGCTGCTCAAAAACAGAGCACATTTCCGAGTTCCGAAGATCAAGAGTATCGGTCGATAATACGAGATCGTTAAACTTGTCCGATTCAGCTGCCATCACCGAACGGCGAGTTGACTGCTGGAAGACAACATCTCGTGCCTCTTTACACACCTGCGCCAGCCGCGGAACAGCCAAGTATCGATTCAGTGAAACCTTACTGTTTCCTCGGACTGTTGTTGCCTTGGGATCTACTAGAGTGCGCGAGGGTGTTGCTGCCTCCCAGATCCGTATTCGCAGTTCAGCAGGTAGCTCTGTGAACTTGGTGAAGCTTGCCCTCTCCTCGAGATCTTGGAGGTTATAGCCATGCTTGCGAATGAAAGCGTCGATTATCCCTCTCCTGATATCTTCCGGTAGATGTGATTCCAAAAGCAAGTCGTGTAACACAGCGATCTGTTTGGACGGCCTGCTCTTACGGCAGCTTTGGCGAAACCATGATGTAGATAGGTGACTGCAGACCGTGACCAGTTCCGCTGTTCCGGCGAGCCTGTCGTTCGCTCTTCTTACCGCCGAAGCTACGGTTGTCGGACTTGAGGTTGCAAGGTTAATATTCGGGAAAAAGTCCATGTCTTTCCTGGACTGCATCAGAAAATGCCATCTTTTGGCTCTTATTATCCAGCTTCCAATTCCTCAAGTTTTGAAGATGCAGGTTCTGACATCAGGTCGCATGGATGGATAGGTGAGATTTAAGTGAATACGGTTTGAGCTGAAGGAGCCACGGCCCGACGGTATAGGCTGCTGCAATGTCACGGATTTGCAGTAGCCTCCCAGAGTGTTGGTGCGACGTGGGCGTCTGTAAGCATGTCAGCAAGCCGTGCCTCACAGCAATAAGCCGTTGTCGGGTCGCGATCAGCGTAGCAGTCCTTGTAAGGGATCTAGACTAACCTCATACAAGGTAGCTCGTAAGCCAACGCGAATCAAAGCTGACTGCCGAATCCCATCAAATGCAGCGAATCCCTGTGGCGTTCTTTAGGCGGTGAATTGGTGTTGGCGGTATAGCTGCCCTGAAGCCACCCGTGACGCGCTGTATCCTTCTACATCAGGACACGGGCGCCATCCTAGCCATCAATGAAAGCCACAGTCAATGATTCAGAGATGCATATTCATCTGCTGAATACTACCTAGGTAAAGCTGCTGGCAAGTCGTGAGTCTCGTCGCTATTGGCCTGCTAAGGCGCCACAATCTTGTTGTTCCTTCTGTTTATTGAACCAATACCTGCAGGGATGCCGACAGTGATTATAGCTATTGTTCTGGGATTTGATTTCACGTCTTTATTGTGGTATTATGGTATACTTACTGCTTCAAAAGACACTTTAGTCAGTCGTATATATTACACTGGAGGACCTGCACACGAGGTGTACTGCTATAGCTTCCAGCGAATCGGAAACTAGCTAGATCTCTTTGCTGTAGCTGTTGATAACGCTATTCAAACAGTCCTCGTAGATTATTTGTATCATCTCGACCGCTATCAGTACAGGTCTCAAGGGACTCGAAAATTCCATCTAGTATGCACATCGATATGCCAAACTCAACAACAACAAGCTTCTAGTTCATGTTACACATAATTATCGTAGACTGTGCCGATGGAGCAATCATCTGGAACATGGAGCTTGACTTTCGGCGTATTCGGTCGGAGAAAGTGTACGTAAGCTTAGGTGCAATGACTTCGAGTTGGTCGTCTGACTAACGAAGCAGCCTTGGGCGAGAGTTGTTTCCCACGGGGACCGGACGTGACTGATTGGCTGCAGCACCAGGTGCACATACTAGACCCCAAAGATTTGGTATATTGCAAAGTGTTGACTGAACGAGTGGGTTTTCTCATCTCTGGGGTTGCCGAGAAACGCCGGCAGCGCCCGTCTGGGCTGTCTGAGCAGCCTGAGCAGCCTGTGCCTGCATCATTCGCCGGATCTGTAGTTGCTTCATCCTTGCGAGGCCAATCATCATTGACGGAATCCGTATCTCGTGCTGTTTTAACTAGAGGTCAGTAGAGTGAATACATGATCTTACAAACAAAAGCATAATTGCAAAACTCACGCCAGCCAAGATCTTCGCCTGCCCAATGCCGATCTCCTCGGCGATATAGTTGAGCGTGCGCTTCAGATACACACGTTGCGCCTCTGTCGCGAAGTCGGAGCTGCCAGCAACAAACACAAACCACATGGCATAAATGCCCGAAACAGATGCGGGTTGCAGCGTTTCGGTGGATGTCTCGTGAGGTTTGGCCCAACCAAATACAAACGGCACGCTCGCGACGATATCCGTGACCACTGCAGAGCAAATACTCTGTGCTCGTCTATATTCAGCCGTGTTCCGGTAATCAGAATCGGGGCCGGATACCCATGCAAGACACCGCAGTGTTATGCTGTGTATGTATAGCCTAGCGGTTCGGGCCCAGTTCTGCAAGAAACACGCAAACATGTCGATGTAGGTGTCGATGCGTCCTGCTGCTGAAAAGGCATTGGCAGGAGACGATACTTTGGAATTGATCCATTTTGGCGGAAGGGGTAGATATGCAGCCGGGAGAGTATCGAACCACTCTTCATACTCGAGGTCAAGGGCTCCGGCCTGTTGGAGTAACGTCAAGACGGCCGTCGGAGTTGGTGCGGCCACCGCGAACTGGCCGATTATATGTTCTGTCGCCGATCGGAGGTCAGCAACTTTAAGCGATAG